ATTGTCTAAGTTAGATTCTTTTCCATTTTTTACAGTATTTACCCCTTTAATATTCCATAGACCTTTTGTAACTTTACGTAAGGCTAGTCTACTTCTTCATTTAAAATTCGTTTCCCAAAAATGGTGAAAAAGTTAGAAATTGTTCTATATATATAAAGTTACAGTTTTTTGTTTGATCCCCCCCTCCAGGGATCCTCTGAAGGTGTATAAAATTATATGTAGGTAGCCTATATCCCAATGGAAAATAGTATCTTGAAAATTGTTTCATTTATTTTTTCCATTTAAATTTTACATTTTCTGCTCCCTTAGTAAATCATAGATGTTTTGCAAAATTATGAAACTTTACATAAGGGTAGTCATAATTCCTTTCGCGAAAGTTGTCTAAATGCTACATATTTTTCTATATTTAAATTTGGTTTTTTGTTTGCTATGAACCTCAAGAATTTTTTGAAAGTGAATGAAATTTTTAGTGAGGGTAGTTTACATCCCAAACTATAATTTTATAAATAATCGTTTTTTGAAAATTATCTCAGTATTTTTCCCATTTAAATCTACAGTTTTTGTCTTTATAGTGTTCCATAGACCTTTTACAAATCCATGAAATTTTACGTGAGGGTAATCTACTTCCCCATAGCAAAATTCTTTTGGTAGAGGTTGTCTAAAAGTAAAAAAATTGTCTATATATGTACATATAAATTAATTTGTTTTTGCTTGACATGGATTGCATACGATTTTTTGAAAATGTATGAAATTTTATGTGAGGGTAGTTTCCATCCCATACTATTCTTGAAAATTGTATAAAAATTTGAATTTTTTTCAATTTAAATTTAATTTTTGGTCTCTTCTTATATATACAGAGTGGGCCACCAGTAACACCTCGGTCGCTAGGGACCAAACGGCAAATCTTATAGAAACCCGTTTAGGTGGGTACGTGTAGGTTGATTACGGCTACATTTTAAAAATATTTTGGATTATACAGGGTGTCTAGGAAAAGCGTACTATATCAAAGTTATGTATTTTACTGCATTATTTAAAGCACCGTAAAAACATAGATGAACTTTATTAAAGGGTCTGCACACCTACGACTTATTGTTTGTGAGATATTTCAATTTTATTGAAAAAGTAGGATTTGCGTAGAAATGTAATATTAGTAATAAAAAAATAATTTTAAGGAAGTAACTTTGGAGAGTGTATTTTAGATCCTTGAAGTTAATAAATTATACTTTAACGTCACTTAGTATTGTACAGGACGTTCAAAAAACTGCTAAATACTTCTTTCAACTTTAAACAGCAATAACTTGGTTATTTTAAATGGGACACCCAGTATATTTTAATTTGGAAGTTATGAATTTTAAAACTCTTTCAAACTGTGTATAGGTTCCCTTTGTCCCCTAGTTCTATTTGTGTCATTTCATGTTTTATCGATTTTTTTTGTAAAATGTATCCACGTGTCTTCATCGAGTTCTTTATTGGATTGGGTTGGGTTCTTCTTGACCTTTCTTTAAGTATAATGAGAAAAATGGTGCACCTTCAAATTTTTCATATTCAGTGAAAAATTATTTAAATCGAAAATTTAGTAATAAATGGATAAGTAAGAATGGTGCATGTCAGTGGCCACGTAGGTGTCCAGACCTCACCGTAATGGACTTCTTTGTTGCGAGCTATATAAAAAATCTTGTATACAATGTTCCACCTATTACTTGCGATGATATTGGAGGGAAGGATTAGAGATGCATTTGCGTGAGAATATCATTTGAAGATAGAATAAGATGCTGTATTCAGGAGAATGGTTATCAATT